AACCGACGGGCACACTTTGGCATGCCCCGGTTAAATTTCTTCAGGAATTTTCTAGTTATTATTATTTAATATTGTAGACGTTACTTTTTCTCCCCTACTTTGTAATCAATTAAACTGCACGGTCAGTTATATAGTTATTCAAAGCCCATTAGAGCTTAAAGTATATTTGTTCATTATAACATGTCCATGTTAAATTATTTAACATAATTAATCCTCTCATTATTATTACAACTCAAAGAAATTAGTGCCCTTGAAATCTAGCTACATTTGAGAAATGTCTTTTTTTATGTACATCTGTGAGCTCTAAATTAATTGGTGAATTGTTTAATTTGGCAATTTGATACTGTCACAGTTGGTGGGAGTTGATACTGTTTACCGAAGTGAATGCTATGTGGTTGTTTGATAACACAAGGACATGATTGTACTAAGAAATGTTAATGATTTCAAGAATTTGTAATAAAGAGAGCGTTTGGGGAAGAAGACGGCGGTCGTCTTTTTTTCTTTCACTGATGCTGTTCATTGTTACAGGCTCTCCACCAAGATCAATGGGGAAGCCGAGACACATCAGAAGAAGGAGAAAAAAAAATCATTTGTTACTATTGTCCACTATGAGCTGAGACGTGTAACAGATGCACTTTATACACACTGTGAAAAGAAAAACATTGTCCAGATCCCACCTCCTATTTAATAAGATGCAGAGATTTTCATTGGGATGATCAGGATGGACGGGATTAGAAGTGAACAGATTAGAGAGAGGAAAGAGATGAAATGTTAGAAAAAAGAGATGGATGAGATTCAGAAAACCCTGAGGAAGACGGCAAAATAAATAACGGATACTGCCATCTGGTGGCACAAAGATGGTACTACAATAAACCTGTGACCCTTTATCAAATGTTTTACATACAAATAATGACAATAGTTAAAATAAAATTAGGTTTGTAATTTGCAGGCCTTAATGGTGTTAAGCCACGTCATCTGTGGGACAGATATGTGTTTGACCTAAAAAATAGATATTTTCAGACTGTTTCAAAAATACACGCGTAGCAAATATTTGTAAAAATATTGTCGACAGATTTAGATCTAGAATAAGATCTGACCCAGTGATATCCAAAAGGAATAAAAAAACTGGATTTTATTACAACCTGAACATCTTTTCTAGATAATTCATCTGTTTACCTGAAAATAATTTATCTCATCTCCTGGTAATATCCACAAAACAGTCATGACAATTACAGCTCAAATTATTTTAAAAACAGGACAATTATTGTATCAAGTCACTGTCTGTTTATTCCAACTTTGTTTTTTCAGTTTTAAGAGTGTTTGTAATAATGTGGTGTTATTAAATGAAACCAGTAATTATTCTCTCTCCAGATGTTTGAATGGATGCGATGGTTAGCTTCTGTTTTAACTTGTTTTTTGTTAGTGACTGAGATAAATGAGTTCAAACTCCCACATTGACACTTGAAGCTCATCGGACAGGAAACTAAACTAAACGTTGACTTGAGTTGAGTTTTATCAAAGGCAAAACAAAGTTTCAACAGGAATATTAAACCTTTGGCAGTAAAATATGGAGAAATTATGTGTAAAATGGAAATTTCTTTTATACTGATTGATTATAACTTTAATCACATGCAACTTTATTTTTGTAACATTATGACTTTAAACTCCGTCACAGAATCATAAACACAGTTGAATTGCTTTATTTCCATGGAGTTGGATGGCAGTGACTTTGGCAGATGACCAGAGGTGTGGAGTTCAAGCCGCCCTGATAAACGCCAGGACTGAAGAACGGATAAAGTTCCTCGGTGAAAGAGCAGTCTGAGTATTGGTGGATCAGTTCTGCAGAATCAACGTTGTAGAAAATGATGGAGCCCTCCTTGTAATCCACAAAAACACCGACTTTGTTCAATGGAGGTTTTACATCCAGGCTCAAACCAGCCGCCTTGATCGTACCTCCGCTTCGTAATCCGATGGCCCAGCGGCCGCTGCTGGGGCTCGACGAGATCGACCCCTTCCTGCCAATCGACCCGTAGACGACTCCGACGTCCCAGGCCATTTTTCCTCTCACCTCAACCTCGAAGTAAACTCTCCCAGAGGAGAAACTCTGCCTGCCCAAAACGTTGGCCGTGGTGTTGAACCGCTCCGGGTTATTGGGGAGATTCTGCTTCACGCCACCACAGTGGACCTGCTTCCTGTCTGGAGATAAAACCAGGTTGGGATGCGCCGTGTCCGGATCCAGAGTCACATCAACCGCAAACTGCTGCATTCGGATCAGCTTGGCCTTGCTGAGGAACCTCTTCATCTCTCCATCAAGCATTTCCTTCAGCTTGTCCACGGAGGCCATGACGGTTTTGCCGTAGGACGGCTGATGAACGGAGAACTCTGTGAGGTCGGAGGTTTTCACATCCTGGAGGAACTGCAGGTTGGCTTCCGTAAGGAGAAGATGATCCAGCTCCGCCTCGCTCTTCGTCAGCTCTGAGATTTCCTCCACAAGCTCTCTGATGAGCCGCTCTGCTTGCTTTTGGAAAGTCTTCTGCTTCTCCTCGACGGCTTTGGTGAGACAGGACAGACTTTCCTCGACCGACTGGATTAAAACTCTGAAAGTCTGCAGACTCTCTGCGGTCTGTCGCTCGGCAGACTTCCTGCTCAGCTCTGCTGAGCGCTGGATCTCACAGATCTTCATCTCTCTCTCTTTTATTTTCAGCCTAATTTTGAACTTCATTTCCCTCATTTTGGACTTCTGTCTTTCACTTTCACATTGGGAAGGAACAGCAGTCAGGCCTGGATTGGAGCACAAACAGTCAGTTTGACCACACAGATATTTCTGAGATTAAATGATGGCTTACAAACTGAAATTGTAACATTAATGTCAGAAATCTGAGAGGAAGGTAAAATTCTCAGATAAAAGTCAGAATTTTTAGATTAAATGATGATATATAAACTTAAATTATGTGATTTAAATCAGAAATCTCAGATTGAAGTCAGAAATCTGAGATTATCAGAATTTTGGGACATTACAACAATAACTGATCAGTTTTCATATTTACCATTTTCAAACTCCCCTCTTTGTACCGGTCTTGTGTTTGACAGACTTTGTGCCAGATCATTCCTCCCGATCTTCTCTAAAAGCTCCACCGATCTCCTCACCGCCTCGGCCTCGCCGTGCTTTTGGACCATCAGGTCCACCGTGTCCGGCCGGTCCGCCTTCTCGAGCCGGTACGCCGGGATGGCTGGGAGGTCATTCCCATCATTCTGAAGCAGCCACTTGAAATGTTTGAATTGGTCACCTGTCAGGTTCTCCAGGGTCTTCCACAGATCCTCTTTAGTGGTCGCCATTGTTGTTCAGTAACCAGCTGAAAACCTGAAAACACAAAATACACACAAAATACTAAATTACTGAAGCTTGTCTTTGATTTAACTTTTAAAAAACTATCGTAATTAAACAAATGTTCACTATAAACAATGAATTTGGTTTGGTTTAATCTGACAGGACCCAAAAACCCATGAATGTAAAACATTTGGATAGATTTGGTATTAGTTTATTCTGACGTTTGGGACTAAAGTCACCTCATCTGCTCCACCTCCAGCTGCAGTGGTTCTTTCTCTCTGCTCTGAGTCAAACCAACCTGTTCCCCTCCTGGCCTGTGGGGGCGCTGCACCAAGAACCACTGAAGGAAACGAAGACACTGAGGGCAACTTCCTTCCTCAGGAAACGTAAACAAAAGTGGAGTGGAGTCTGATCTTAGTGGTTCAAGAATTTCACTTTTGTCTTTGGCTAAAGACCATGAGCCATTTCTCCCTTTAGCACTAGGCTAGCACCTTTGTTTTGGTTGTATTTACCCAGAATGCCCTGCACTGTGGACCACTTCCTGATTTTTTTAGAGGACTCCTGTGCCCCAAGGGAGGATTCCCACCAACCCTTTTCAGTCCATTTGCCTAGAAGGTCTGGTTCATTTTTAGGTGTGTTGAAGTGAACTCTGGTTTACTTTGAACCAGAGTTTGAATGATTCTGTTTTGAAGCGGGCCAAGTGGGCCGGAGACCGCTCCAGAAGCAGGAAGAGGACCACAGCGCAGGACATTCTGAGTAAATACAACCGAAACAAACATGCTAGCCTAGCACTAGCAAGAGAAATGTATTTTAACTAAAGACAAAAGAGAAATCCTACAACTGCTAAAATCTGACGCTAATCCATTTTGTTTCTACTTTGTGAAGAAGAAAGTTGTTCTCAGTGTCTTCAGAGGTCTTCATGTTGTTTCCGTCAGTGGTTCTTGCTGCAGCGCCTCCAGAGGCCAGGAGGGGAACAGGTTTTTCAAAGGGTTTGGTTTGTTTGACCACAGCAGCTGAAAATAAAACTGGTCCTAAAACAAACTGAATCTACCAGATTCTCAGGTAGGAAAACGGTTGAAGACTGTTTTTTATTCACGAACGATTCACTTTTTCATTTCTGAGGCTTAAGTAATTCAGTATCTCCAGTTTGTTTTATTCCATGCACTTTGTCACATCCTGATGCTGTGATAAAGCAATAAGGTGCTTTATCACAGCATCATATTACTAATTTTATGACAGCTGTGTCATAAGATTAGAATTTTATAGTTTTTATTATTTTAATTATGACTTAATATGCTGCACTGTAAACTCCTGCTCTTGTTTGCTATGTTTCTTTCTTTGGCTGCAGGTACCACAACATATTTCACTTTACTGTGTATAACTCTGCAATCTAATCTAATCTAATCTAAACATTTACTGGGTAAGTGAACTGATCTCTGGATCTCAAGCTGCAGAAAAACTACAAAAACTCTCATGATTTTTCATTGAAGTCAAACTGCTGGACGGGTCAATAAACCGAGGAAGCAGAGCGAAAACGAAACCGAACCTTTGGACGGGACCTGAGCGACATTCTGTCTGATTTATCCCATCAGGACGGTTTTTATCTGCACTGGAAGCAGAACTTATCATATCTGGACCAGAAATTATTGCAGAAATGATACTGTTGTAAGTTTGAGACCATTTTTCAACATTCAAATATTAATGGAAGTGCACCAACTAAAAGATCAATAAACTTTCATTTTTAAAGAATATTCAAAACTGGAACTGGAAGACATTTCAAATATCCAAAATGAGTAAAAATAAAATGATAAATAAAATCAACAAAACAAAATTGCCCTTTTTTTTCAGAAAAATTTGGACTTTTCTAAAAAAAATAAAAGTGGAAACGACCTACTGTGTATTTGTAACATTTTCTTTTTAATAAGAGAGGCCATTACTTTCTCCTATTGGATAGGATTGTTTTTCATACGTTAGTAGATAAAATAGTCATTATGAAACTGCCTTTTGTATTTATTCGGGTTGTCTTTGTTTAAAATGAAATGTGTATGAAGCATTTACCTGACAAAGAAGCAAAAGTAGAAAATAAATATGCAAACAAAGCGCTCTATTTTACTAAAAGCCTCTTTTACATTTTATATTTATGTCAACTCTGAAACGGATTTAAAAAAAAAAAGTAATTTAGCAGTTTATCGTGTTAAAATGTTCACATTTCTGTTCATCCAAACCCGAATTTTTTTAATGACATTAAGGGGAAAATACGGGAAAATACGTTTCCCTTCTCATTTCTACGGCACATTTACGCGGTTTTTTTCTTCTTTGTGTTTTTTACAGTGGGGATTAGAGAACAAACAGCGACTGTGGTTCACCAGAAAGCAGAAGTTTGGCTAAAGCTCATCCGCAGGAATTAAGGGATTATTCCTGCAATCCAATAAAGCAGAAGAATATAAATGTTTACTTACTAAAACGGGAGTTCAGACTCGGTTCGTCTCTCGTACGCTTCCTCTTTTTCTGGCTGCTTTATGAATGACCTATAAAAGGGAGGGACATAAAAACCGGCTGGCTGTAATTCTTTAAAGCTGCCACTAGATGGCGATGAAGTCTCATTTCTACAGTAACATCTACTTAAATGAGTAACTGTGGAAAAAATGTACTTTTAGGAGTATTTTTACTATGTTGTACTTTTTACTTTTATTTGAGTAAAAGGTTTGACTCCACAGTGGCTCTTAATAACTTTGTATGTAAATTTTATATGTTAAAAATAAGAAATATGTTCAAAATTGATAAATTTAATTAATATGTTCAGAATGGGGAATTGTTCAAAATAAGGAATCAGATTAGTATCTTGGAATTTGTTCAAATACGATTGTTAGAATCAGTTCAGAATCTAGAAGTGGATTAAACTCAGGAATCTGTTCAATCTTTGAACAGATTCCTTATTTTCAACAGATTCTTGGTCAATTTGGAATTGTTTAAACAAAAAATCTTGGAATCAGTTAATCTATAATTTAGAACTATATCAGACAGGAATCACAGTAAAGAATCTGTTCAAAGTAGGGAAACTGTTAAGACTCTGGGAATCTGTTCAAAATATTAAGTTTGAAATCAGTTCAGAATCTATAATGAGGTTCGACGCAGGAATCTTTCAAAGTCACGAATTTCTTTAAAAAAAATGTTTTTAGTGTCTGGGAATACGTTCCGATGAAGTTAAGTAATTGTTTTTATAAAATCTATAATCTCCTGAGAGCCATAATCTGCTCAGATTATGGGAATCTGTTCATCTTTGGAAATCAGTTTCAAAACGGCCTCATAACTCTTCACAGATTGATCGTTTCCTCTCTAATGTCATTGCTGATATTTTCTCCAGATATTTTCTCTCTGCTTTTATTCTGGAGGTTGAAATCTGACAGGAAGATAAACTAATTCCTACATGAAAACAACTTAATCAGAACCGCAACAAAAGTTTAATTACAAAAACTGTGCATAAATACAGAAGAGGAAGGAAAACTCTTAACTCTCGTGCAGGTATTGTTTTCTTGCTTCAATAATATGCAGATGTGCTGGGACTGCCAAAGCATTTTTCCCTCCACGCCTTCCTCTGCCGCCGCTGCATTCTCTGATCCTTCCTCACACATTTCGGAGCAATGTTTCATCTGTTCACCGCCGGCTCGGCCAGATCTCATGACTCTAAACGCATCACAGAGCAGAAACTTCCTGAACATCAGCGTCACAGATGAACTGAGAAATAACTTCGTTCACACCGACCCAGCCGGTCGCACCACTTAACAAACTGGGAGGCTTTTCTGTGACAGCGTCTTTAAAGCCTTTTTCTGAGGTTTCTGCTTTTTATTTTCATCATTTTCACAGATTATAATATCAGTTTTTTTGTTTTGTCTAGCTTCTAGTGAAAATATTGGAGTAGCTTAAAATGAGGCAAAACTAACTTATAAGTAACTTTTCAGGAAGACAGGAAATTGATTTAAGTAAATAATTCCTTAAAATTGATGAAAAAATTCTAGTTTTTACAACATGGGATAAATGTCTTGTTATAAGTGAAATAATCTGCTAGTGGAACTAGAATGTTTTATTATAAAAGATTCTGGAATGAGTTCAGAATGCAGAACTAGATTAGACTCAGCAATTGGTTCAAAATAAAGAAAATGTAATTAAGGAATTATTTGAGTCTGGAATTAGTTTAGTCTCTGGAATCTGTTCAGAAATAAAGAATCTATTCAAAACATAAACTTTGAAATTAGTTTTGTTTACATAAATCCAGCTCCTATTTCTTGTTGAAAAGTTACTTATGAGTTAATTTAATCTCATTTCTAGTGTATTAAGATATTTGACCTAGAAACTAAACTTAAATTGTGTTTTCTGTTTTTGTAGTGCGGATTTGGGTATGTGAATTTAGACGCCTCATCAGAGCATTTATGTTGCTCTATCACTGAAAAATCCATTAAAACTGATTTTGTTTTAAATGTGACATGGCCAGTTTTTTTGTAAAACGTTGGTGTTTTCTGCATCTTTGAGCTGTGAGCAGGGGGAGGAGCAGCAGGCGGACGTAGAAAAGCAGCTGGAGGAAGAACATCCAGGTGAAACCGGCTCTGATTGCTGCTGCTGCTGCTGTGAGGAGCCCCAGAGAGAAACCATGGCGGTTAATAAGTGTGTCAAGTATCTGCTCTTCTTCTTCAACCTGCTGTTCTGGGTGAGTCTCACAAAAAATCATCTTTTAGTTTAAATTCAGATTATTTTTTTAAAGTTTTTTTTAAGGTGGGTTTTTGGTCTTTAGCATCTCAAATGAACCTGTTTTCTGTTCTCACCCTGATCACTTCATGTTTTTTTTAGATATATATGTTTTTTTATAGAACAGGTCATTTATTTACTTTTGCCCTCGCCCTCAAACAAAACCAGCTCAGTTTCAGGGTGTGGCCAGGTTCTCTCAGAAACTCTGGAGTCCATTTAGAGCAGTTCCTGTTTCTGCAGAACCAATTCGTCTCTCATTCAGCTGCATTTCCCTCCATGTCAACACTAATGGACCAGGCAGGCGGTTGCTCAACATAGTCTTATGGTACTTAGCCACTTCCTGGACAGTTTTATTTATTATTCCACCACTGAAAGATTTACTTTTTTCTTTTAAATGCTTGTTTTCTCCCAACAGATGCATAAAAAATGTCTGCAGGTTTTGTTTTTATCAGCAAAATGACTCATAATTGCTACTTGCCCACTTTGTATTGCGGTATTGCTGAAAATGTGCTATATAAATAAAATTACCTTTACTTAAGGACGTCTATACCAATCTAGATGCTGAAAGTGCCTCACTACACTGCAAAACCACAATCTTAACACAGATCTTTGGTCCAGCAAACATGTTGGTATAAGTGAAAAGAAACAGACTAACTTACAAGTAACATTTCAACAACACAGCAGCTTGTTTTTAAGTCAAAATGTCTTGTTTATTTGAAAGAAGCTCCTGTTTCTTGCTGAAAAGTTATTTTTAAGTTACTTTTATCTTATTTTGAGTGTGCTAAGATATTCACATGAAAACAAAACCAACATTTGCAGTGCAGATGGGGGTGTGTGGATTTCCTTCTGAATTTATGCTCTAAATTTTACATTTCTTGAAAATAAAATGATAAAAATAAAATAATCTGTTCAAAAAGGGCTTGACTTTTTTTAAAAGGTGGATTTTTAAGCTGTTTATTTTGTGTTTTTGGTTAAAACTGAAGAGTTTTGCTCTAAACGGGGCCTGCTGGTTGGTAATGGTGAATTATAACAGGTTCTGTTAACTGGTTAAACTGGTTCTGCAGCAGCTCACTGCATGCTGTCGCCATCCAGCAGTTTTTCTGGTGAAGTTCATGTCCTGGCAGACGTGACTGGCTGCTTCCAGGGGACAAAACATGTTGACCTCTCCAGAAATGTTTTAAAACTTGTTCTAAGACTTTACTGGTCACTTTGCTCCAGTTTGAGACGAAATTAAAGTCGCATTTATTCAGATGAAGAACTTGCTACTAAATGTATTTGGAACTAAACTTTAGGCACAAAAAGCAACATTTTTATCAATAAAACTAAAGCATGAATCCAGTTTGAGTTGCTCTGACCTTTGACCTGAGGCGTTATCAGTCCTTGCAAGATGTTTTGCTTGCAACTATTGATGCAAATTCACTCTGGTATGCAAATGTTGCACTTGCAAATTTTACCAGTCAATAAAACCTTTGTGGACGTCGGTCACCCACTTTTTTTTTTTTTTTTTTTTCTTCAATCTCCTCCTAATTTAACTTTTAACTTCCTGTTTCAAGATGTTGCTGTTAAAGTTGAACCTGAAAGATTTTTAAAATATTTTTTAGATGTTTTGCTTCTTCTGTTCCTACTGTCATTTTAACTCGAATAACCGACATGGAGTTCTTCTTTAAAGATACTTATAACACGATTTTATTTTGAACATTTTTAACCAGTGAAAAGAGACAAGAACTACCGTATTTTCTGCACTATAAGGCGCACCTAAAAACCTTCAATTTCCTCAAAAGCCGACAGTGCGCCTTATAATTCGGTGAGCCTTATATATGGGCCAATATTGAGCCACAACAGGTCTAGCAACTACGGTAAGCAGCCGCCGACTTCATTTGGCCCGTAGAAGAAGCGCGCGGTGCATGCTGGGATAGTTGTCAGAACGCTGGTTTGTTAATAAAGTTTGACTGACCTATCTACCTACCGACCGTCTAGAATCAGGTCGTCTGCAGGACATTTTGCACCACGTTCTCCACCAACATGCTGTGTGTGAATGGAGAAGGGTGACCATCGTCCGGCCCGGCCCAGTCCGGAAGGCTCTCCTCGCTGACTGGAGTCGCACTGTTTTATTGACATTCACTTTAGTGCAGCTCCATCTAGTGGATGCATAATGTAACTCCAGCCTCTACTGTAGCGTCTATTCTATGCGCCTTATAATGCGGTGCGCCTTATAGTGTGGAAAATACGGTAATAAAAAATACATAAAAATGCAAAATAACATGGTGGATTAAATGCTATATTTGCTAAAATATCTCTAGGGAGAAAATCATGAAAATAAATAAATTTTACACTTTAAATGTTATGTGCAGATATTTAACTTTTGTTGTCAGTCCAGCTTTTATCTCTGGTTATTTCCGTCTTTCCTCCTGAAACGCCTCCAGATCGATACTAACAGGATCTGGAGCCACTCTGCCATGTTGGACGTCATGTTTTCACAGACTGATGGAAACGTTGAGGCGGCTCCTTTATTTACTCGGAAACCAGTTTGATTTAATCTGCGTCTGTTTTTCACCTCTGAGTTGAGCAGAAATCCCAGCTCTGTTCTGATCCAGTTTTTCCATCCTGAATGTAAAACATTTGGAATCAGATGGCAGATAAAACTGCAGCCAAACTGAATGAAATCGTGACGTTTTTTCCTGCGTTGACATTTCAGAGCAGAAAAGCAGAAATGATTATGATCTGCAGTGAGGAGGAGGAGAAACAAACAAAACCTCTTCATCACAAACGGCTGAGTGTTTCTGAAAACTCTGCAGGGATCGACGTCGG